CCCCAAGGATGTGTGGAACAACGCCCCAAAATTCCCTTACGAGCCACAAGGAAAAATTCCTTGTGGCTCAAGGAATTGTAAGGAGTGTCTAACGACGCCCAAACTCAAAACCCGTCACGTCCACCTTGTTTCATATTTTTTTGAAAGGCTGAACCAATTCAATCACCTGTAGAATCTGACAGGGAGGCCTTTCAGGCCTTTTATTATTTTTATAGTATTATGGGGAAACCTGTGATAGGAGCCTTTGTTCAACCCTCCAACGGGGAAACATGCGGGGGCTGTGCCCCACCTGCGGGTGGGCAATACCGGCCAAGGGTCAGGCATTAGCATCCGGCAAGCTTCTTTGATGGGCCAGTCGCTGTGCCTCCCCTCCAGTCTCCTACCCCTACCAACATCAGTAGTACCTGCTTGGTGCCAATCGGGGGGCCCAAGTAGACCTTGACCCCAAGAAAGTGAGCATCAAGTATGCTCACGTAGATTCATGGGGTCAATGGGGTTTGAACCCATGACCTCCTGAATGCTACTTGTGTGCCTTACCAATGGAGGCAAGATAGTGAAGTCGGGGCAGATGACTGCAGCGATTCATAAATTCACGATTCATACATTCACAAATAACATACAAGAGCACGCACAGGAAAAGCACTCGCGAAATCAGATAGGCCTTTCTCGTCCCATCTCCCAATCCTTTCCAGACCCCTCCTTGGTAGCGTCATCTCCACCACCATGCTCCGAGTAACTCCCCAGCTTACTAACTGAGCTAGGCTGCCGACTCTGAAGTACTAATTTTTATCAGCCGTGGGGCCCGACCCTGACTGCCCTGGCCCTTCTTTGATCGTCTGATGGTGGTATGGGGGGAATGAGATTTGCCCTGAAATACTATGGTTTGTAGACACCTGGGACCAAGTCTCACTTGCAGCAGTTTAATTCCCGTAACTGGTACTGCACGGCGCTGTGTGACTTCGTGTGGCAATGTGCGGCATGTGAAGAAACGGGCGGTTAAATCAGGAAAATAACGAGGATTTGAACGTGGAGATGATGCATAATGATGAAAGGCCGGCCAGTCTGCCCCGGTGGTTTAGGCAGATTCTGTTACAGCATGCCCCCTGCATGGGAAGGGGGTGGCAAATGGCAATGTGCTGGCAATGTCCGTCCGACGGGTAGATTGTGGGAAGCTGTAGAAACTAGGATTTCGTCAAAACAGACATTTTTTATTTTTTGAACGAAATTGAAAGTGTGTGCCATGGAAAAAGGTTTACAAAAGGAATGTGGGCCATGTGAGTGTGTGTGTGTGTGTGTGTGTGTGTGTGTGTGTGTGTGTGTGTGTGTGTGCGTGTGTGTGTGTGTGTTTTGTCACACAGGCTCCGGCCATGTGATAGTGTGCGTCAGAGAGTGTCAGATTGTCAGAGACTGCGAGGAGAAGTTTCCCGAAAAGGGGGTAATGGGTCTGACATACAGATTCAGTTGTGTCTTCTTTTTGTTTGTTCTCTTTGCTTCAATGCAGCCGACCCTTTTTTTTTCGTTGGGGAGGGGGGGGTGGGGGGGGGGGCGGCTGGGTAACGAGGGATTTAGGCATCCCTCGAATACAACACATCCCCACCCGACCCTTTTTTATTATTATTTTTATTATTATTATTATTATTTTAAAGGTGGGTTTAATACATTCATGATTTTCATCGGTTTGACACAACATTCGTGAAATTGTTACGGCAACGCATTTTCAAACTGAAACCGTGACAGTGCCCTACCTCCCTTCTTGTTTTTTAATGTGAAACAACGCTCCGATCTATTCGTGGGGAGCAGCATGTGCTGGGAACCGCGTCCAACGTCCCGTTTTTTATTATTTATGAATACAGAAAAGAACTGGGGCCACTACGCAAGTTCGAATCCAATGGAAATTCATTTGCATGATATGTGCGATCTCTTCTTTACGTCGCTTCTATGCAGCAAGTTTCAATCCAATGCAAATCGTTTTGCGTGATGTGTGCGCACGCCATTTCTTTTAGTCGCTCCTTGCGTAGCTGACCCAAGTTTGTGTGGGATTTGTCCGTTGCTTCACCCTTCACCTGATCTGTCTCTTTTGTTTTTTGCTTTGTGTTTTGTGGTGCAGTAGCCCCAAGTTTGATTCTTATGCAGAAGTTTTTGAGGCCTGCCTGCTTGCGCACCCACTCACTCACTTGTGTGTGTGTGTGTGTGTGTGTGTGTGCCTGCCTGCCTGCCTGCCTGCCTGCCACTGTGTGTGTTGTCATATGACTGTGCTAGACTGTTTCGTCGGACTTTCACCGACTCGTCAGGAGGTTGAACCTGGACAGTCTGCCCAGGATTCATTTGACTGATGGATAAGCACTCACCTCATCGCCCAGAAGTGTGTTTGTGTGCCTGCCTGCCTGCCACCCACCCACCCATGCATGCATGGGTGCATGCTAGTGAAGCCTGGGGTTGAAGCTAGGTTGGGCTGGTGGGGTTCTAATGGCTTGATGGTTGCAGCTGGGGTTTGAACCAATGCACAGATCTTGAAGGTCCCATTGATTGATGGGTGGACCATTAATGCAGGCTGGGTCCCTGTCTGACTTTGGGGACCCATTTTCTTTAATTTGTGTAACAGTACAGGGCTTTCCTTGCCTTCCTCTGAACTGAAGTATGCAGCTACCCCTTCGTCAATGAGTGTGTGCTTTTTTTCTTTTGTTCAAGTGTTTCTTGTTTTTTTGGAGAAACTAGGGGGCTGTCACGGTGTCAGTTTGAAATTGCGTTTCAGTCACCATTTTGCAAATGAGGACAAATTGTGAATGCATACAACCCAGCTGTTACGGTCGGGTGGGGATGTGTTGTATTCGAAGGATGCCGGAACTGGATTTAAACTGAAATTGTGACTACGCCCTAATTACCCCCTTTTTTGAATAAAAGGCTTTTTTTTTTTTTTTTTTAACCAAAACCTCTCTGGTGATATTGCTGCTGGTACGAGCAGACACCACTAGCACCAGGGAGGCTAATTCTTTCAAGCCCAACCAATTCAATTACCTGTCAAATCTGGACAGGATGGCCTTTCAGGCCTTTTTATTCTCATTAACACTCATTATGGTATTACAGGGAACCCTGCAGCAGCCAGCCCGAGCTCAAGCCTCCAACGGGGGAACATGCGGGGGCTGCACACGACCTGCAGGTGGGTGATACCGGCCAGGGGTCAGCCGGTAGCATCAGGACTGAGCTTCTTCGATGGACCAGTCGCTTTGCCTCCCCTCCGGTCCCCTCCCCTTAAGAACATCAGCAGTCGCTGCTCAATGCTGCTCGGGGCAACCAACGGTCGATCTCTAGGTGGCCGTCGCCAAGCTCGCCCAGGACGATACATGAGGCCAATGGGGATCAAACCCAAGACCTCATGAATGCCACTTGCCTGCATTACAAACTGAGCTAGGCCACTGGATTTTTTTGAGTGTTTGCTGTTCTGTTACTTCTTTTCTGGTTTTCAGGTAACTGTCTTATTTAAACCACCAGTACCTTTGCCCACTTGAAAAACAAATGCCCGCCGGTTAACATGCAAGGCGGGCGGGTTCAGCACTACCAGCCGGAAACAGGTGGTGGCGCCAGCCAAAAAGAGGCCTGCGCTGCTTCGTTTTTTTTGGCGCGGAGGTCCATTTTAGGCTCGGTACCGATGGATGAGAAAGGTACTGGCGGTTTAAATATGTACCATATGCTCCCACGCTACCTGAGTGAACAGGGACCACTTGCCGAGCTGTGTGCAAAAGTACACCACCGGGTTCAAGTGTGGGTTGTGGTGTGGGGGGGAGGTCTTGTGGGTGTGTCCAGCAGCCTGCCTTTGTTCGCCCCAGTTCACCTTCATTTCCGCCGCCATTGAGAACAAGTGTATGTTAGAGCCCTTGATGGGGACCATCAAGTCGTCTGAAAAAAAGGATGTGACAGGGACTGTGTCACGGGGTATTTCCGGAATGTGAATTCTTTCAGTTTGTGGATTAGCCCTGGAGCGGTTAAAAAGAAAAGTGGATTAGACCTTAGCAGTGCTGCCAATGCTTCTATTACTAAGAGTTGGACCCCACAGGAATATGGAAAGGAAGAATGTTTCCACGAAAACGTTTCCGGGACCCGACAGGCAGTGGAGGACCTTCTGGCAAAAGCGAAATGTCTTCCAAATACTGGTTTCCGGAACCCCACAACCCGCAATTAATGGGGTGGAAGAACGCGCATGAGCATTTTCACATCGTCCGCGTCGTGGAAAACTGGCTCCGGAGGACATCTCGCTGCGATTTTGTGCCGAAAGTTGAGATTGGGGGAGGGAGTGCGCGGGGTACTTTCCAAGGTCTCGCCCACCGTTTGATCCAGCAAGTGTCCGGCCCCTTGGCCTACCCCGGTCCTGGAGCCGTGAGCAGGCCCCCCATGCGCCTCACGTCGTAACCGGGCCCGGGGCTGGAAACGGGCGGGTGGGGCCCACCATTTCGAATTCGAATTCAAATTGAAATTCGAATGGGGGTGCGCCTGGCATTGTCGTCAGCAGTCGACCGATGCAAGGAACTTACCACTTCTGGAGACGTTTACTACGGCCATATGCTATTGCATCCGGCACGTGGCATCTGCGGGTTTGTCGTGGCGTGGCGTCGTCGATCAACAGTGTTCTCGTGCGCTTCCCATGCACGTCGTCCACCACCTCCGTTGCCGCGCTGTGCCATGGGCATTGGTTAGCCGACATCTGCATGGTCTCGCGGGTGGTAGGTATGTGGCGGATGCGCAACCCCTGTGGGGACGTGGTCAGTGTGTTGGAGTACCGCTTCACAATTCCATCTCCTCCATCCGCCGAACATTGTCCCTCCACGCGCCATCCCCTGGTGCAGTGGAAGTTAGGAGCGTTGTGCGTGCTGTTCGTCCGAACATCACCAGTGTCGTCGGTAGAAAGTTCGTGCCCGAAGGGAACAACATCTCACATGCAATTCAACGTTGTGGCGGTATAGGGCGAATTGTGGAGGGAGGGTTGACAGACCGGGACGTGGCTGTTGCGGCGAGGGTTTATGCACGACCATACGTCGCACACCCACCACGATTGACTGCTGCGCAAGATGGTGTTTTGGGTGGTGGCAGGGCTTGTCCATGTCGGTGCCTGCGAGATTCAACCGGCACGACGGTGATCATCATCGACGTCGACAACCGTGAGAGGGGGTTGGTTGGTTCCCACATGTTCCTCTGGGGATTGTTTGTCATTGTGTCCGTGTTTGTTGTGTTCGCCGTCGTTGTTCTCCTTTGTTTGGGCGCTGTAGTGGTCGCTTTCCTTGCCACGCGTCGGTGGCACTGTTGTTCATTTGCACCACCGGTATCTAGGGACACGTGCAAAGCCATGGAAGGACGTACTTTCACTGATGAACTGTACAGTGATTTGGGGGGGTCTTGTCAGTTCGCTGACGTGCGGGGTAACGCAAGTTTTTGCACACAACCACGCACCTAGTCGGGGCAATCAGCGCCTTCATGGTGTCACGTGTCGCAGGCCGGTGTCGGCAGAGGTTTGTTTGGGGGTTATAGCCGTGAGAGATCTGCTTTGCAAGGTGCAAACAGCATGGCGCCCGCGCCATTACATCCGCAAGGTTTCCGGGAAGGTGCGGCCATGGCTTGTGCCAACATTTGGGGTTCCCCTCCGGATCATCCACGACAGTTGTCCCAGCCTTGGGCGGGGATGGTGCCGCCCATCTCGCCAGTTCATGTTCGCAGAACGGCAGCAGTGGGTTGTTCCAACCACCCAACTCCGCATGAAGTGAGTGATCAGCAGTCCGCAGAACTGTCTGTGATTGGGGGGGGGGAGAGTGCGTCAAGGCACGTCTCCTGCAATTGGTATGGCGTCGGGCCGTGGAGCTGCATGAGCGCCGAGAAACACAGAAGTCCCCTAGAGGAGAATGTCGATTCACGTGCAGGCGAGGGGGGTGGACAACAATTCACCTGACCTTTTTTGCGCATTGGACAACAGGGGATATCGCCGGTGGCGGGAAGAAGGTAGGGGCGACGTCACAACTAGGTTTCCAGGGAACACGGCCGACGAGACAGGGGAGACCGGTCTCGAGGGTCCGGGGATGGGAAACCGTGGGGAGAGAGTAGGCAAGGATGATGATGATGGAGCAACTCCCTCCACGCCTGACAAGTGTAATGAAGGAGTTGCTCATTGGAGCAAAGTGCGTCCGCGGGTGGCCAGAAAAGGAAAGGGGGCAGCTCACCACGACCGTGGAAGAAGAACAGCCCTTGGTCTTTGGAGGAGAGATTGGAACTCGCGAAGTTCGCCGGCGAGGACGACGCCCTTACGGCTGACGCCGAAGGTTCTCAGGCGTGCATGACGAGGTCGAAAAGATGGGAGTGGGTTGCAGGAAGGCTTGGAGAAATCGGTTACTCGAGGTCAGCGGAGGACTGCAGGAAGAAATGGGCGGAGATGGTGAAGAAGGTGAGGGAGATCCGGGATGCATGCGAAGGGTCGGGGAAACAAGTGTATTGGGACACCACCACGGAACAATGGAGGAAGCTAGGGTTGAGCTTGACGTTCGAGCGACAATTGTGGGACACTATGGAGTGGTATCGGTTGAAGAAGTCAGTGACGTGTGACAACACACTGGCTTCGGAAGATTTGAGAGGAGGTGGATCACCGAGTGGCGGCGAGGCGGGTTCGGAGGGTGCTGAGACGAACGCTTCAGACACCACCACGAAGACACGCCGTACCTCAAGCGGGAAAGCCCGGAGGGGGGATTCTCCAGCGTCGATGTACAGCATGACATCGGTGATGGAGGAGTCCACGAGGGCCTTGTGTGAGGGTTTGGAGAGGGCTGCCAACACATTGGCTCGTGTGTCGACGGATGGATCGAGGATGGTTGCGACAGAGATCGAGGCTGTCGTCGGGGCGATGCGGCAGGGCAATGCTGTTTTGGAAATGCTCGTCGGGGTTATGGCGGAGAGGGGTGCAGGGAGTGGTCGGGGAGTGGGCGGTAGCCGTGATACGGACCCCTCGACAACGTAGGGACCGACCCGGGCCGACGCGGCTTCCAATTCCGATCCGCCAGCGAAAGTACGGAGAAAAAAATAATAGGGAAAATGAAATAAAAAAATTAGAAAACGAAAAGCCGCACCGCACGAACAGGGGTGCTGCTACGTGCCTATTCCACGGGATGTGCGCTATAAAAATATGTCATCCCACCTGTTCTTACGGTATGGGAGCATTCCACGGTTGACTGTGAGCGGTTGGAGAGAGAGAGAGAGAGAGAGAGAGAGAGAGAGAGAGAGAGAGAGAGAGAGAGAGAGAGAGAGAGAGAGAG